TCCCTGGACAGCAAGGGCCGGATATTCGGCGGAGCAGCCCAGATATCCGGCGATGCGGGCCGGACATCCGGCCTACGGGCCGGACATCCGGCCTACGGGCCGGACATCCGGCATGGGAGCAGAGGCAATGTTTCTACTGCAGTTTTTATGAGTTTATGTGTTTTGATGTACCGAAGGTAGTTCGGAGTCCCGGATATGATCATGGACATGACGAGGAGTCTTGGAATGGTCGAGACATAAAGATTGATATATTGGAAGCCTATGTTTGGACATCGGAATGATTCCGGATGAGTTCGGGCATTTACCAGAGTACTGGGAGGTTACGACAACCCCCCCGGGGAGTATATGGGCCTTATTGGGCCTTAGTGGAAAAGAGGAGAGGAAGGGAAAGGTGGAGGGCGCGCCCTCCTAGCCCAATCCGAATTGGGTGGGGGGCCGAGCCCCCTTCCTTCCTTCTCTCTCCCCCTTCCTTCTCTCCTACTCCTACTAGGGAAAGGGGGAATCCTACTCCCGGTGGGAGTAGGACTCCCCCTAGGGTGCGCCATAGAGAGGGCCGACCCTCCCCTCCTTCACTCCTTTATATACGGGGGAAGGGGGCACCCCATAGACACACAGGTTGATGTCTTAGCCGTGTGCGGTGCCCCCTCCACAGATTTCCACCTCGGTAATATCGTTGTAGTGCTTAGGCGAAGCCCTGCATTGGTAACTTCATCATCACCGTCATCACGCCGTCGTGATGACGAAGCTCTCCCCCGACACTCAGCTGAATCTAGAGTTCGTGGGACGTCACCGAGCTGAACGTGTGCGGATCACGGAGGTGCCGTACCTAGGATCGGTCGGATCGTGAAGACGTACGACTACATCAACCGCGTTGTCATAATGCTTCCGCTTACGGTCTACGAGGGTACGTGGACAACACTCTTCCCCTCTCATTGCTATGCATCACCTAGATGGATCTTGCGTGTGCGTAGGATTTTTTTTGAAATTACTACGTTCCCCAACAGTGTGACCCTGTATGTTAGGTGTAGACATGACCGGAACTCTTTCCGATGAATGATCAATAGCGGAACCATGGACATCCATATTGACCCCTATCACACGAATGAATATTCGAGTGAACCCACGGTTACTAAATGTTGTTCCTATTGCTTCGTGATATGTTACAAATACCCGAGGTGAGATTTAATGCATTCCCGTGAATCAACAACTTGTTCACTATGTCAATTTCCTCATTGCCGGTTTTGTTCTCTTTTCTTGTTCCCGCATTCTAGCATCCCCCGTGATCGAATGAAGTTGTGTCTAGCCAGACGATGATGGATACTGTAACACCAAGAGGGCCCGAAGAATATCTCTCCATCATCAGAGGAGGAAATCACAATCTTGAGATATCAAGTACCTTGTCATACTTTTCCATGAACCCAAAAGCCACTGTAATAGCCAACCTGTTACGAATGATGTTTAACTAACCCCAAAGTTCATGAAGCAAGTATGAACGAACTCGATACTCTCATGTTCTAAGGAATTATGCAAACGCTAACTTTCTCTATGTTATAAAACCATTAACTTGTGACGAATGTATCTCATAGCATGACATAAATTTGGGTCGATTCAACACAAATGTTCTTCTAACATTGTGTCCTCAAAGTTGCTGGCATAGTCATGCTCATGATCAAGAAACGTGACCATCGTGCAACACTTGAGCTAGTCCTAGAAGCACGACTAGGAATACATTTTACCGTTTATTATTCCACACATGCAAATGGGTTTCCCTCTGAGACTTTATGGATATACTGACTCAAGGACCAAAGCAGTTATAGCATGAAATATAAACTTTAATCATGAGCTTGGAGAATAATTATAGTTGTTATTATTGCCTCTAGGGCATATCTCCTACACGGACTTGATGCCACCATGTCCCTCGATGCTTGAGACTTTTCACATCAACTAGATCTTTTAGCTATTTAATATTGTAGCTAGCGTGTCGATTGACACATTACCTTAATTTTCTGGTTGCCTATTTTACTAGACACCTGCTTAGAACTATATATATATATATATATATATATATATATATATATATATATATATATATATATATATACTATTCATCCCCCAGGGTGCAGAATAAGTTATTCTTCACCCGAGGTAATCTTACGATCATTTCATAATTAAATTACGTTTCGAATTCAAATAGTTACATTCCTATTGATTCACTACGTAAAATTTGACATAAGAAAATAAAAATATAGGTTATAAGACAAGAAAATTTGCAGTTTATGTGTATTTTATACTATGTTTTTACGTGTATAATTTTACGTAACACAAAATTTTTTTTACGGAGATTATATATTTTTTACGGTCCCTTTTTGCGTCGGAAATAAGACAAAACTTACGGAACGTAAAATTACGGTGCATTGATGGTAAAATTACGGTGCATTGATGACGAATAGCGCGACCCTATATATATAGTATTCTGGTAGAGTAGAAATACTTAGTCATGCTCATTATTCTATAGGTGCTTATTTGAATGAGTGTTAATAAGTTTGGATTTGAAGATTGTGATAATGGTACGACCACATGCTATATGGGAACTATCTTGGTTGATTAGTTAGCTCTTCCTTATTGTCGTCATCGCCATACCGCGGATGGGATAGCTGCCCTACGGGGGTATCCTCGGCACAAAGGGGAGCGGACTGTGAACTGCGGTTACTTTCATGTTGACACCTAGTGGGCATGTCACAGTAAGTGTGTTATAATGAAAGAACTTGTCATAATATCACCGTCGATACTCCGAATGTTGGGTTCTATACCATCGACCATTGATGGTAATAAGTTGAGATTATGTTGTGTGGGTAAAGCGTACAACCTTTACAGAGTGTAAAACTATTTGAATAGCCATATCCACAGTCATGGACGACACATGAATATTTCTTGACATACATGACATGTCTGCTTTATTCCCTCTTGGTCCTATTCTTGGAACATATGAAGAACATGAGTTGGTCGGGGACCCTCACCTTGAAGAAAGTTATGTTGAGATAAAACAATATTTTTGTCTAAAACTCTTTTTATCCAACTACTACGATATTTAAAACAAAATTAGCTTTTAAGCAAATAAGTCATATAGCCTTCCTTTAAAGCCTCATGTAGCTAACATGTCCTCCTTTGAGGGAGGTATGTTGAAACATGTGATGTACTAATGGCAATAGTTTGGTTGAAAAACAGAGTTCCATGAAGATGAAGACGAAGATGATGAATGCGTTGGGGTGCCATGCCGGCGGCGAAAACAGTCCACAAACGCCGGCAAGAATGGCCGTCGAGTGTGGTGTGCTGCTGGAGAGAGCTATGTGGGTGCGGGCGGTGGCCTGGGTGCCGAAACTGGGCGGCAGCGGCCAGGGTGTGTGGCTATCAATGGAAGGGGGAGGGGAATGGCCAATATGCCACCGACTAGCAGGCCAGGGGAAGGACAAGGCCGAGCGTCGCGCGAGTCCGCTCGGTGTCTGAGCCGACACGAACACGGCTCAAAATTGAACTTGCAGTGGATCACGCGCAAACAAAAAACGAATGCGTTTCTGTTTATGTTGGTGCGTTGGACTGTGATTTGTGTCCGTTTCGGTTTAAATGGATGCACCGAGCAGTGTGGTTGGCGCGTTCAAGTTGCTCTAAGTACTACTAAAATACAAAGTCATGGTGATAGGATACAAGCGACGTAGAGCTGTGCGACACGACTTTGTCACCGAGCAATCAAACTCTTTTTTCTATAGATGAGCAAAATAAAAAATTTGATCGAAGCTTATTTACAGTGAGGTGAGAGCTGGTGCTACTAGACACTTGGCAGGATCCACGTCTCGGTAAAAAAAATTAGGGGCGGTTTCAGTTACCGGAAAAGTTGGATCGGATCGCACGAGGCGATCAGGAGGCGACGAGGCCCTTGCGCGCCGCCGCTGACACCTCCGGTTCCCTCTCTCTCCATCGGCCGCTCCAGCGGCGGGAGGGAGGAGGAATCTCGGGTCTGTTCGCTAGGTGGGTGTGTGGTAGGGTTAGGGTTGAGGGAGACGTTACCGAGGCCGTCGCGGTGGTGTTGCGTCGGAATAAGTTTCTCCGGGCTCCGTTCGCGGTCAGGCGAGGCTTTTGCCTTCGTCTAGGAGCCAGCGAAGTTGAGGATCCCCGGATCTCGTTGAGGTCGCGGGCTTTGGTGGCTGGAGTCCATCGGCACTGGCCGTTTGGGTCCTCAGATGGGCGATGGATTCAGGGAGACGAAGACCCTTCTTCTTCCTTGTTGTTATGATTTGCTGCTGCTGTTCTTCTTCTTTCTATGTGCTGATGCTGGTGGGAGATCCTGCTTTGCCCGGGCGGATGGCCCGACCACGGTGTTGGACCGGTCGGATGACTCGAGTTCTCTTTCTTCCGGAAGGGACACTTCTCGCGGTACTCAAAGCCAAAGATGGCGACGGCTGTTGCAGGTGTGTTGGATTGATGTCCATGCCCTCTCAGTATTGATGTCAAGAAAGGAGGAAACAGCGTGGCGGCAATTGTACCGTGGTCGAAGATGATGACCTGTTTGCGACTGGTTGCATATCCTTCTGCTGCAGGGGTCTTCTCTCAAGATTCAGGGATGATGACACAGGGCTCCGAAGATCTTCTTGTGTTATGGTTGTTTTAGGGTATTTTAGGTGTTTATGTTTTTTTGTTTTTGCATTTCAGTATGCTTGTAAGGGTCACCTACTCTGTACTGATTCGTGATTTGAATAAACAATTTTTTAAAAAAAATGTACGCAGGATCCAGCCAAGGAAACACGTGCCCGCCGCGCTGGCGTGCACGTGTGAAGAGCGCGTACCCGCGTAGCGTAGAGTTGCCTTGCCCCAACGGTCGGTTCGGCAGATGCAGTCGGTTCGAATTTCGAAATAAATATCCCCTTCCTTCTTTCCTCCGCCTTCCCCCAAATCCATTCCCCTCCCTTTCCCGATCCGTCGCCCCCGCCGCCACCGCCGCCGCCGACATGGATTTGCCCAAGCGAGCTCTCCCCCAAGGTAAATAGCGATCCTCTCCTTGATTTCCCCCAATCTTTGTCTGCTGCTTCCTTAACAGATCCGTCCGTTCTTGTTTGTTCACGCGGCCAGGTTCCCCGCGACGAAGCCCCAGGGCCATGGAGGGCGACGAGAACGCGGCCCCGAGGCGCCCCGCCGCGGCGGGGCCCGCGTCCCCGCAGAGGAAGAAGGTTCTGGGGGTGCGGAACGGCGCCGGCCGCGGGCAGGAGGGCGCCGCGTCGGCCGCCAAGGCCGCCGCGCTCGCCACGCCGCCTCCCACCGGAGGGGGGGCGGGGACGTACGACCCCAAGACGAACTACACCACGCCGCGGCCCGACTTCCTGCGCTACGACCCCAAGCGGAGCCGCGAGATCATCCTCCGCCTGGGGCGCGAGGTGGAGGGCGGCGACAGCTCCAGCGCCACCTCGGGCACCGAGCTCTCCGAGGTGCTGTCTTCCGGCTCGTCGGCGGCGAGAGGGGGCGACTCCGAGTGCGACGACGCCGACGACGAGGAGGAGGTGGTGCCTGCGCAAGGACGGGGAGGCCGCTGGGCGCGGCGACTGCTGCTGCTGCTCGTGTCCTCGGCCTGCCTCTTGTGCTACATCTACTGTATGAGTTCCGCTCCCTTCCCTGCTACTACTTCAGAAGAACCCGTCAGTTTCGTCGGATTTAATGGGAGCATGTCTGATGTCGGTGTTCACGAGGTAGTTCCTCTGCCGGGGCCAATTCAGTATGAACATGAGGCAGATATAGGCCAATCTGTGGTCGGGGGCAGTGACGATGGCATCCCTTTGCACGGCCCAGGAGCTTCACCTAGCAATTTCATGGCAGTTGCAATGGTGGGAATGGCAGATGCCTGCCCTAATGTTGCCTTCGGAGAATTTACATGCCAAATCGGGGATGAGAGCAGCGAGATTTTGGATGTTCTGAATGAAGATTCTGGGATAGGCGAGCTGAAATCGGAAGCGAGCATGAGGCCACTCGAGAATGCTGAAGAAAGCAGTGAAGTTGTATGCTCAGGTGGAGATGTCACTGAAGTTCCCTTTGGTTCCACCCACAGCGATGATATGGATGAGAACAAGCTAGGATTAGTTCCTCAAGAGACAGGGGGAGATGAATCAAAACAATCCATGCCACAGTTGGTCACCATGGATGAAATTCTGGAATCAGAAAGCGTGAAGGTGGTGAGTGATGATAAGGGTTTGGAAACTGAGAGGTTGGATCAAGAAGAATTCGACTCGTTGGGGTATGAGAACACAGCTGAAGGTGCCAAGAAACTTGTTGATATGGTGAAAATCCTGTGGTCTGCAGTGGAACCACATTTGCTGAAGATGCTGGCATGCTTATCTGTTGCAGGCCTTGTGACTGTTATGATCAAGTATTCCCAAAGGTCTCGCAAGGTCAAGGTGCCCGTGTCACAACGTATGCCTTCAGTTCCACCCAGGCGAGTGCCAGTACTAGCTCCACATAATACTGTGCCACTGCCGGCGTTCCATTCAGAGCAACCTGTGCAACGGATTGTGCCCAAACAAGAGTCATCTGCCTGCTTGGAGCCTCCTATGCAATCCTTGTTGTCAGAGTCAGACCAATCTGTGTGCCTCAATGTTCCATCAAGTGGTCATAGGGATCATGATCAGAAAGTTCAGCAAGAGGATGGTGGTGGCGTTGAAAGGGCTTCAGATGGCAGTACTGTGGATCAGAAAGATACTGACAGATCAAAGCCACCAGTGGTTCAGTTGCTCGGAGAGTTCTCATTTGTCGATGCAGATAGCTCAAGACGGAGGTCTGCCAAAGACTCAATTCAGCATGGTGGAGACGTCACGGTTCAGGAATCCATGTCTTCGAGGAAGCGTGTAGTCAAGACGCAAAAGGATTCTGACAAAATGCAAACCCCTGGTCTTCAAGCAGCAAGAAAGAAGGTAAATTCTTGTTTCTTTTCCAGACATCTTTTGGCGTTGTATTTTTGTGTGCGAAGTGTGAGTGCGTCATATGAGATTATCCTGCCTTTTGAGGACATCTGTTGGCATTGCATTTTAGTTCCTTAGGAAGTGAGTTCTAGAATTATCTGAACTTACACCAAACAGGTATTTTGGCCCTGCAAATTAGACAGGTACACAAAAGTAGTTACTACCTTAGAACATTCACATTAGTGGCCACTATTATGATATATGTGAAATCATCATTGCTAGTCTTACTTAATAGTCTGATCCAGAACACCTTACATTGCACATTTGAAAATAAATTAAGTTAAATACATCTACGCACAGTGCTTCAGATTTATCTTATCATTACCATTATGCCCCAGGCATTAAGTTTGCTTTCAAGCTTTTATTCCCCACAGTGCTTCAAGCTTGCTATTAACTCGATGTGTTATTCTGTTTAACAGGAGACTGCAAGAGCAGAAGAAGAGAAGGTGGATGCTACACCGACTCCGCTGAGGCGTTCAAACCGTCTCCGTAAACTGGCTTCTCCTTGAGCCAAGGCAAACACGGTGCATTTTGCTGATGTCGGCTGCTGATTCTTCGTGTGGTGCTGGGAGCTGTAGGAGACATCACCTAGTTGTAACCCAACGATGCTAAGATTTGGTGCTGTAGCTGTAATAGGTTAACTAGTGTAAAAGGCTTGCAGTGTGTTTGGTTTCCCAGAAAACCTGTATAATCTGCATTTGACATTATTGTACTGTACTCGTTACCTGTCCCTAACGGTGAAACAGAGTGTTTTTTCTTTTGTTGACATGGGTAAAACAGAGATTGTTGGTGGTATTGGGCAAGTTAATCTCACCCACTCTATCGAATTAGTCATTATTCTCCTGATTAATCTCTGAATTATGTTGGCCCCCGGATTCAGAGGTGTCACAACTTAGTGTTGTATTACCTTCCTTCTCCAGTTCAGTTTCTTATAAAAGAAAACGATCCCAGTAAATTTAAGACTCTGGTTAACATTACAGGAAGGTTTAAATAGAAGGTTCAAATTTCTGAGAAAAGATTGGATAGTTTATCAGCCTAAATCATAAGCAACCCATCGACGTGGAACCAGTGGAAGGCTCATTCAGTCATTTGGCAGAAGGGAAATCCGAAGCGTCCCACCAACGCGACGCGGCACAACACCTCGCGTCCAGCGCACGCACCATTTGCTTTGCTGCACGGAACTTGAACTACAGAGCCCAAAACCAGACCCCTCGCCGTCGCAACCAAAACCCCCACCCCACCCGCCGACCAGAGCCAGGGCCCGCCATGGAGCTCGCGGAGGCCGCCTTCGCCATGCGCGTGCTCCGCCACCTCGCCTGCGCTGGTGGCACGGCGGCCGCATCGGGCGCCAACCTCGCAGTCTCCCCTCTCTCCATCCACGCCGCGCTGGCGCTGCTCGGCGCGGGCGCCCGGGGCGCCACGCTCGACCAGGTCGTCGCCTTCCTCGGCCCCGCGCACGCCGCGCTCGCGTCCCACGTCGCGCTGCGCCTCCTCTCCGACAGCCCCGGCGACGACGGCGGGCCCAGCGTGCGCTTCGCCAACGGCGTGTGGGTCGACGCCGCCATGCGCCTCAAGGTCGCCTACGCCGCCCTCGTCTCCCAGCACTACCGCGCCCAGGCACTCCCGGCGTCCTTCAAGGACATGGTGAGGCTGCCTGTACCCTCCCTCTGCAACATTTTTCCACGAAATTCGCCCCGGAATCTCGCAACGATCGGCTCACGATTCGCGTCCGTGTCTCGATGCAGCCAGAGGAGGCGAGAACCCAGATCAACCGGTGGTTCGAGAGCGCGACGGCGGGCCGGATCAAGGGCCTCCTGCCCCAGGGCTCCATCAACGGCGCGACGCTGGCCGTGCTCGGGAACGCGCTCTACTTCAAGGGCGCCTGGTGCCGCAAGTTCGACCCCCGGCTCACCCTCGACGACACCTTCCACCTCCCCGCCGGCGGCAGCGTCCGCGCGCCCTTCATGTCGAGCAGCGACCGCCAGCAGCACGTCGCCTGCCGCTCCGGCTACAAGGTGCTGAGGCTGCCGTACGCGCGCGGCCGCGAGCGGCGGTACTTCTCCATGTACATCTACCTCCCCGACGAGCGGGACGGACTGCAGAGCCTGCTGCACAGGCTGGGGTCCGACCCGGCGCTGCTGGAGAGCTCCACGACGCTGACGGCCCAGGTCCCGGTCGGCGCCTTCAAGGTGCCCAGGTTCACCATCTCGTGCAAGACGGACGCGACCGAGCTGCTGCAGGACCTCGGCCTGCGCCTGCCGTTCGCGCCCCTCGCCGCCGACTTCTCCGAGATGCTGGATTCGGCGGCGCCGCTCGTCGTGTCGGCTGTCTTCCACCAGTCCTTCGTCGAGGTGAACGAGGAAGGGACGGAGGCGGCCGCGGCGAGTGCCGTTGTTGCGTCCTTTGGCGCCGCGGCGGTGAGGACGCCGGTTCAGGTTGTGGACTTCGTGGCCGACCACCCGTTCGTGTTCTTGATCAAGGAGGAGCTCAGCGGCGTCGTGGTTTTCGCCGGGCAAGTGATCAATCCGTTGGTTCCATGAATCTGGCTGTGCAGACACAAAACAAAGTATCTTTTAACTTTTGGGGCTTTCAGGATGTTATTTTGTGTAATGTGTAGTGTCCTTTTTCTTCTTTTAGTGAACTTTTCTGCCTGTTGATACATTACTTGCCTTTTCAAAGATGTGTCCAGTACTCCAATATGATTGGAGGGAATACCATCTTTGCTATGTGGATCCAAGATACACTTCGAAAGGGACACCAGAAATGAAGGAGACATAAAACCTATGTGCAACAGAAAGTTTCACACTTGCCAGCAATCGAAAATGGTACACAGACCTGAAAACACACATGTCAAAAACAACGGCATCAGACGCATATAAACAGTAAACATTGAGCTGCAGTTTTTTAATGGTTTCAGGAGGACGAGATATCTCAGCATGAAGTTACTACTGAACATAAAATTTGAATACCAGGAGCTTCCTGGGTCATAAAGAGAACTCTAGAATCTAAAGTAGACCCTGTCATCGTGCAGTTCAGATTTAGCAATTCAGTTGCTAAACATAGATTGTAGGACTGGAGTGCTACAACGCATGGGAAGAATGCTTATTTTCAAAAGGGCTAACATTCTAATGTAGAAAAAACAAAAGGAATCACAGCGCCATACTAATAGACGCAAGAACTGTTTACTGTGCGCAAAGCCAGCAGCGACAAGGATTATTACATACACGTTCTACAATCAAGGTTTACGATTTACATACACGACAAACTATATCAAGACACTTCAGTGGTTGTTTCCTTTGGCAGAACCACAGCGATTAGACACTCAGTCGGTTGAGGCGGAAGGCCTAGCAGTCCAAACACCTCGGATGTGGGAGGAAGAATAAATAGCAGCCTCGACCCCATGGGCTTCACAGGAGCAATCTTTATGACCCCGGCGTACTTGTTCAGCTTCAGATAGGAGATGAAATCCCGGAACTGCGAGATGCAAAAGGTAATTATGCTTAGACAACTACTTTATCATGAAGTTTCAAAAGAAGCAATCTCTGACTATTACATTCTGAAAGTTGAATTCACAAGTTTTGAACTTGTAAATCCACTAAAGCACACACATGATCTGCAAATTCATAAGTTTTCAACTTGTAAAGCCACTCAAGCCCTTAGATGACATCTCAGAATTCTTAGGTGATGAGCTGCAATTAATACGACAATATGCTGCTGTTATTCTGCATACTGCAGCTTATGCAGGCCAGCAGGTCTACATCTCTTCAACGTTCATTATTTGAAATTAACTCAACTCCAGAGAAAAGGTAAAACCTAAATCTACACGTCTGAGGGCAAAACAGAGGCAGACCAGAGTTGCTTAAAGTTCTCTTTGGTGTTTATAAACAGTAAAACTTGCACAAGATCATAACATCTATGACTCAAGATTAGAAGTCATGTAGTCGTAAATATCAAACCCCAAAATGTGTGTCAGGAAAGAAACTACACCTATTGCCTGACTGGTGCCTGAACAGTATGGAATTATCATCCCTGTCTGATGATATCTACAGCTAAATGACACAATTTTGGCTTCTGGCAAGATGATAACTCTCTGGCTGCTCAACCACAGCTCCTAAAATGACAGGTATCGATCAAGTCATATACACATTTCCACCAAAGTTCCCCCTGGATAAAAGTGCCAGTATGGATCATACAGTCACTAAAGCAATATGCAAAATCCAGCATAACAGACTGATAGCTACCCCCATTTAGTGCAATCAAATAAGTCTTGAGCCTGTCGCGTTAATACATATACTTTTAAACAGCTGTGTTATCCAAAACTGCCTCGAACAAGAGGGTAAATTCCAGGTGGTACATGAATACTTCCAGGTCATTTGCGAGAGTAAATACAGCAGCAAAAGTAGACAGGATACATTTCATCAAACCAATCTCTCTAGTCTAAATTCAATTTCCGCCTCAAGTAACTATCATGTCAGTTCATCTCAACCTGGGAGACCACACTAAAAATTCTAGGTATTCCTATCTCTTTTATACTTGGGGGAATTCACAAGTATTTAGTTTCCATAATAAATCAATTACAGAAAGTGACAATAATTCCATCTGCTGTCTGTTTAGGTAATTATATTTTTTAATAGGTTATTATGTTCAGTACATGATTGATGTAGACGCATATATACGATAAGTAAAATGGTTTGAAAAGTAAAGGGATTGAATCACATAGCAGTTGATTTTGATCATACCCCTTTCTGATCACCATTCGAACAAGGCAACAACCGACAGACTTCTTTCTGCAAAATGAAAAATAGAAGTTAATATTCTTTTATGCAAATTGAAGAGTAAAAGGTGATCATCTTTTCTCTCTGCAACACACTATTTGAGCTCCTTAGCATCCTTAAAACATCTATATTTAGTCAGAGAAACCATACAAGAGTTAAATGCCAGTATGGGTATGGGTTGAAGGCGATACAGCCATAAAGTATTGTTTACAAAATACATGTTGACTGCAGCCACAGCACTTAAGCAATTAAGATATGGCGTAAAAAATATGTCGCCAGCCATATCACCTTTAGACATCAAAACATAACCAGCACACTCTCTACAACTTGACTAGCACTATTGCCTACGATCAGCTGTCAACCTTCTGCTCAAAGCCTAATCACCTTGTTTTTAGTAGCAATAGCATATCCATTTATCATGATTCCCCACTTTAATCACCACCACTGTGAACTGAGTGAGACATCAAAATATGCTATTTGTGGCTTCAAGTGTCACTGGTGAATGGCAATCACGCATCATTGACTGAATCAGCTATGAACTAAACTTGCAAGATATGGAACGTACTGACAACTATAACATTGCATTGATCCAAAGATATCAAAATCCTTGCAAACATCACAACTATTGGTCACACGGCCCTCGTCAAGTCAGTTATCTCCTCCCAACCGGTGTACTCCATCACGCCTCTCATCGTGCCACCAAGCACACTTGATAACCTAAACAAGATTGAAAG